GTATGAGGGGAGATATGGTTGTGTGAGGGCTGGTGAGAATGTAGCCAGGCCCAGTGGTGAGGTCGCACGCGTCTTTGGATTAGCCGGCGTGTTGACAGGCCCCATACGAGGCCGGGTGCGTCCCGTCGTATGAGGGGTGATATTGTGTTTGTGTTTGTTGGGTTGTGTTTGATAAATATTTGAATGTATGTAATTGTGTGGTGTTAATGGTTTATTTGATATTAGGAGCCAGGATAGATACGAAAGAGCTACGTGTGGCTTGATCCCTTAGTAGGGTACGTAGGCAGCCTGAAGTTACTAGGTGCAGCCACAGATTAGACCCCACTTAGGTGGTCTTATTGAGTTTGGGTTGGACCTCGTTGTTGGTCCCAAAACTTGGTTGAATTGAGACTCGTCCTGTGGACTGAGCAAGTGAAGGTGTGCGTTTTTAGATTTTGTAGTTGTTATATGCATGTTGGATGCATTAAGTTATTTTAAGCACTTTGTGGGCAGTTCTACTAGAATCATTTGAAGGCCGGAGGCCATTTTTGTAAATTGCATGAGATTATATTGTGCATGCTGGCATTTGGGTTATAAATGTGTTTTATGCAGGTGGAAATTTTTGGGGAAATGTTCAATTTATAGGGGAGACTCTGCCGAAATTTCGGCAGGAAGTCTCGTGCCCCTAATCCTCTCTGGTAAACGAGGACATAGATTTAAGGAGTGAACTCGGCATGGGGGCGATGCCGGGGTCTCCGCAGGGTTCGTCTCGGGTTCTGGGAAATTCGGGACGGGTCCTGTCACATTTCTTGGGAGACTTTGGAAAAACACAAAGGAGAGAGAAATCTTGTAAAAGAAGCCAAAATGGACAAAATTGCCCTTATTTATTTTTGGATTTTCTAATGAATCCTTTACATTTGCATGTCTTTGATTTGAAAGTTGAGAGGTTTTTATATCTTTTTTGAAAAAGCTTTGGCTTTTTCCAAAAGTGAAATTTTTTTTTTGGCTAAAACCTAAATTTACTATTTTTTTTCTTTCATCCCTTAATCCCATCCAATCCGAAGCCCGAAGGAAGAAAATATGAATCGCTCTAAACTTGATAAGAGCAGAATTTGATCTTGCCATGTGACAACCAAAGGACTGTCTGCTGAGACTTTCAGATTGGTGCTACATCTTTCACAAAGCACAAAATCTTGCAATTGCTGTTTAAGCAACAAAGGGTTGTTCTTTTTTGATACAAAGAACTTTGAGGAAGCGATAATTCGAACACAGGACCTTATGTAAGTGCTCTTTAACTATACTACTCGAGCTACAAGTCGCTTGCAACAAAGTTCAATGTTGAGTATACGGACGCTTTTTAATTTTTCTTTGTTGCATTGTACTACTTGAGCTACAAGCTCCTTGGAACAAAATTTAAATATATTTTGTTGTAGTGTAAATATAGCAGATAAAACTGGACAGGAAGATATAACACATTAAAAACGCAAATAGAATATATATTTTTTCCGTTCGTAAAGAGAAATTCCTCCTTTTAGGTTAATTAACCAGTATTTTTAATAGCAGACAATCTTCTTTTTATTTTATAGAAAGAAGAAAGAACTCCACCTTTGACAGACACAATACCCTTCTTCCTCCTAAAATCATAAGAAAATAAAAAAGCTTCCTCAGCTCCATTTGTAGGCACAGCAGGTATTATTTCCTGGGTTTTGTTCTTAGATCTCTTTTTTCATTTATAAGAATAGACATTTGGGATTAATGGGTTTTTATTATTATTATTATTATTTTTATCTTTTTTCTCATTTGTTTCGATTTCTCGTTCATAAAGTGGAGAGTGGGTTTCATCTAGTGAGTTTTTTCCTTTAATCTGTTACAGTTAAATTTTTTTGGTTTTTTCTTGATATGAATGTTACTCTGCTCTAAGCTGTAGCTCCCTTTTTCTGTATTTATTTTTTGTTAATTTATAGCTCATTTTCATTTTTGCTCTAGGTAGGTTTGCTGTTTGATTGTGCATTGTTTTGAATTTAAATTCTATCTTCCTCTGTCATTGTGGAGATGGCAGTAAGGAAATTGAAATTTGAAGCAATGATACACTCTTGTGACTGCCCATCAAGTGTTTGATTAAATGCTGAGTACATTTGGATGACTGTCGTAGCGTGTTTTGATAATTTGCCATTTTTGTTTTCTTTCTCAATATCATTTAAACGGAGGACCATGAAGAAATAGGTGTGCAGATAACTGTTCCTGTTTGAGTGCCCAGCTCATTGCTGTTGGTGGTCTTATGGTCAGATATGATGTTTGCCTTACTCATCTGAGAGTTCTTCTCCTAGTTATGATTATGCAACCATCTGTGGAATGATTTGTTATGTTATTCAAAGTCCTGATAAGATTACAAATGAAATTTCCTTTTCTATTTGGCTACAATGCGACCCACAAATCAAACCCTATGTAATTGGAACTCAAGTTGCCGTTTTCAAATTCAGTTAGGCTTCTTGGCAGGCCATAGAGTTTGTTAGACCGCCAGGCCTTAAAGTTTCATTCACCAAAATTTTTGTTTTGTTTTTAAAATTTTAAAATTTTATTTTATTGTTATGGATATAGTCACAACTAGTTGGCATTACTATGGTTTTCTGTATTCATTTTGGTCCAAAATGATTAATGTTGGATATTAGTTTCTAAAATTCGTTTGAACATTTTATATGCAGTAAGTACACCTGGCAGGACTTTGGAGCCAAGCTGCAAGAGATTGATAAGCCTTCATCAGATTGCTTAATTTCAGGTAACTCGCAGTCCTCCCTCATCTTCTTTCACACTTTGGAGATACCCAACTCAATAAACTGCTTCTGTTCGATTCACTACTTGTTGTGCAATTTACTCCCTGCATTTTAATGGGCATCCCTAAATTTGAGAATACAGAGCTTTTAATGTCCTGTGTGCGTTTACTTCTTGTTTAATTGGTGTCCTTCATGGATTTATTAAGTACTGCAAAGTTGCACAGATAATAAGTACCAACCATGAACTGTATATCCCTGTTTGCTATTCAAAAAATTTCGTGTTATGTTGTCATAGCATGAAAATTAACTGATTATATGGAGAAGTTTGGATTTAGACTCAATGTTAGATGAGAAAGAGAATGTTTATGAGTATGAGAACCATCCCCGGGAGTATTTCTCGCTGAGACGGAGTTCAAGAATTCGAAGATTCATATCACAAGGGTTCTTGAAGTTCTTCAACAAGATGGCCCTGGGTTTGATACGAAAGCGGCTTTGGATGAGTTGCATATAGAGGTTTCAGGTCTTCTTGTGAGAGAAGTTCTCTTCAAAATTTTGAAACAAACAAATTATTTGAGTAAAATCTGGTGTGCAAAGTTGGGGTATAAGTTTTTTATGTGGTCTGGTCAGCTTGAAAATTACAGACACACAGCAAACACATATCATTTAATGATGAGGATATTTGCAGATTGTGAGGAGTTTAAAGCAATGTGGAGGCTGGTTGATGAGATGATTGAGAAAGACTATCCAACTACAGCATAAACATTCAACATTTTGATACGCACTTGTGGTGAGGCAGGCCCGGCTAAAAAAGTTGTGGAAAGATTCGTCAAATCAAAGACGTTTAACTATAGGCCATTTAAACACTCATACAATGCAATTTTGCACTCCCTTCTTTTGGTGAAGCAGCACAAGTTGATTGAGTGGGTCTATCAACAGATGTTGATAGATGGTCACTGTGTAGATATTCTAACTTATAATGTTATGATGCATGCAAAATATAGATTGGGGAAATTGGATCAATTTCAGAGACTCCTTGAGGAAATGGGTAGAAGTGGATTCAGTCCAGATTTTCATACTTGAAACATTCTTCTTCATGTCCTTGGTTAGGGAGACAAACCACTTGCAGCTCTTAATCTTTTGAACCACATGAAGGAAGTGGGTTTCGATCTAAGTGTTCTTCACTTCACAACATTGATAGATGGACTGAGCAGGGCTGAAAATCTGGATGCCTGCAAGGCTGCAAGTATTTTTTTGATGAGATGATAAAGCATGAGTGCTTGCCGGATGTTGTTTGTTACACTGTAATGATCACGGGGTATAGGCTGGGGAGCTTGAGAAGGCTCAAGGAGTGTTTGATGAGATTGCTCCTTCTCCACCATATGTGTTATTACTTCATGAGCTTTGGCAAGCTTTCCAGCACTTTGCAAATAACTTACTAGGGTGCTGTGTACGGTGAAATTTGGATTACAGCCTCTGGATTCCATATCCTTAAGCATGGAGCATGCTTCCTCTAACTTTCTGCCATACAAACCCCACGGATCATAGCATTGTATGTGAATACATTCAGAACAATCTTATAAGAAGAAACTAATTGATCCAGCTGAGTTAACATTATGTAGCTCCTGGCTATCCAGTCAGACCTTGTACCCACAGTTAAAGAAACTCATTCATCCAGCTAACACGATGCAGGCTATCTCAGTTACACCATGCACCCACACCTAATTCCAGTTGTCTCTGGAGTAAAAAAAAAGTGAAGTATGCACAAGTTGGTTGACCTTATTTTTGTAATGCAAACTGATTGACATATAAACTGCAGTTTGTCCGTGTTTCTTCGTTATATTTGCACCTGTGCTATCACTATATTGTTTGTCCATGTTTATGCCACTATTGTTTTTATGCTCTTGCGAAGTCAAAAGTGCTAACTAGAGACTAGAGTACTAGACTGGTTTCACTTAGTATAATGAAACATACTCCCTTGCTCGCTCCTTCATCTCTCACCACCATTTCACCCACACATCACCCCTCTCATTCTGCTACACTTCCCATCACCACACCCACCAACCTCACCTCTATTTCTTCTTTCCACATTCCACCATCACTTCACCACCTACCTACCCTTTCTTTCTCTTTCCTTCGCCTCCCACCACCACACTCACCTCTCTTCCTGCTTCAAGGTTTCTTTTTTCTGTTGCTTTTAGTATATTCATTCTAAGGTATATACACACATATACAGTACTATGGGTGCGCCTATGCATAGCCACATACATAAGAACATGTAGTTTCCATTTCATACAGATGCAGATATCACTGGCATTTGTTTGAAAACCATCTTTGGATCATTAACCAAAACAGATTTAGCACAGGGCTTGCAGATACAGAGACAAAAGAAGAAGAAGGGGAACCAGAACCGGAATCAGACTGTTGCAGTGATAACCATACCGGTTGCTCTTAAGATCGCCATTGAGTTTAGAACGAGGAGTTTGTCTCAGTCGCAGGAGAAGACGATGAAAGTCAACATCTTGCAGTGGCATGCTGTTGCTTCATGGACATGGGATGCACAAGATGAAACATGTGGGATTTGCAGGATGGCATTTGATGGTTGTTGTCCTGATTGTAAACTCCCTGGGGATGATTGCCCACTAATTTGGGGTGCATGCAACCATGCTTTCCATCTTCATTGCATCTTAAAATGGGTAAATTCACAGACTTCTCAGGCGCATTGCCCCATGTGCCGCAGGGAGTGGCAATTCAAAGGGTGAGAGAAAAACTGGAATCACTTTTAGGGTTTTCCTGCTTGCTTTCTCTTTCTTCAAGTGCAGGGGTTGCCAATGCAGGCTTGCAATTGTTTGATTATATACTGGTTGATGTAAAGTCAAGCACCTCCTTTGTATTTGTTTTGTATTGGTTGATGTAAACAGTAGCTACAATCATTTATTATATTCCCCAAAACACATTTAGCAAACCATCTCAATTAGATCATTTTACTATGCACAATTTAGAATCCCAATCACCAAGGCTTTTAATGATACGCCAATGAAGGGCAAGCTCTTCCAGCTTGACTTGGTTTGAGACCTACTCAGCTGTTGTCCTCATCTCAGAGAAAAGTTCTAGATCGGTTTCAGCATTTGAATTGAGAACTAAATTGTGAATCCTAGCAGTGAAGCTGACTTCATTCTTACATCCCAAAGGAAACATTTACAGGCCTAAAAGAGCATTCCAAGAGTACCCGTCTCTAAAATCTGAACACACACTATGTACACTAGCAAAAGGGAAGGAAAAGGGTCCAGCTTATGACCTTTAGAAAGAAATGACATAAAAATTCACGCCTCATTGAGGGAAACTACTAGCTCTTTACATAAGGAGCTAAGCCTCCTTGCTGACAAATCACAGTCTGATATGTATGCATCAACTATGCCCTATGGTCCCAAATTGCTGACAAATCACAGTCTGATATGTATGCATCAACTATGCCCTATGGTCCCAAATTGTTGAGATACATATCTCACGCAAAGACAAATTGGGATATATCAATGGAGAACTACCACAACACCCCATACGGACCTGACGTTCAACAAATGGCGAACATATTGTGAAAGGATGTGTGATCAACTATATGGAGCCAAGATTGATTTGCAATTTTATTCGCTTTCCGACGGCAAAAGCAATATGAGATGCAATTACCACAACTTACTTTGATGACAAATACACCTCTCATGGTATCAGAGCAACTTACTTTGATGTCATTGCTTGGAACAGGCATTCGACGGCAAAGTGGTGCTGGGAAACAAACACTAGTAACTTTTTTCGTTTTCCAATTTCGTTTTCGTTTCGTTTGTTAGGGTTTCTAATTTCACTTTCCAAAAATGCCCTTGATAAATAAACACTCATAACTTTTCGTTACAACTCCGATTTGCCTATCGTTTGCTCCTATGCTCTCATGGATTGAGCTCCTTCACGGTGTAAAGAAAATTCCAAAATAAGTCTTGAAACAAAAGAGCCTCAATATCCAAAGTCAAAATCCTATGGGCGAATTCATCGAAGTACGCTAAAATTTTGAAATTTAAACAAAAAATGTGGGGCGGGTCGCTACACATTAGACTACGAATTTTAATGTTAAACCCATGTACTTTTTGATTCTTGCATGTTAGTAAATCAAGTAAAATCATGAATCAATACCAATTTCAGGTAAGTAATCATGTCTTTAAAATTTTAAGGAATTCTCAAGCATCTTCTCTCTTGTTGACAAAGTGGCATTTGAGAAACTGTTTTCCCTTTCCTCTTTGCCTCAAAAGGGTTTATGAAACGATAAATGAGAAGCTACTACCAAATTACTAATTGCATATTCATCTTTTTTTTTTTTTTTCTTCCGGGGCTAATCCATCATGCTATCCAAGATCTTGCGGCTGATAATCTTTCTCTAAATATTTTGTAATTGTTGTATGTAATCACCAGTTGGTCCGGTTATATGAAAAGAAATCTACATTAACTTGGTATTATTTTATTATTATCCTACTCTCTTTTTGAGGGAGTATATTCCAGTGGTATCTAAGCATAATTGATAAATACCAACATTTTTCCTATTAATTTAGACGGGATTGTAATAAAAGATTACAACCATATGATCTTCTAGCTAATCAAACAAAAAAGGTGCCATCCCTAAACAAATCCCAAACCCTAAAATTCTAAATGCAGAGGTTCAGGATTCCAAAAAAAGTGTCAAGCTTAATAAAAAGGGAACAAAATAAAAACCGGATCTTAAATTTATATGCTATATGTCACAGTAATTTTTTTCGCCCACTTTTTAATGAGCACGATAGCAAATCAGTAATTTCCATTTTTAATTTTTTAATTTTTAATTTTTTGGGTCTGACCATATTTATTTTTCTTAGACTACCCTTTTTCTTTTATTCTTAGGATTTGGTATTTTACATGAATACTTAAAAAACTAGTAATTTTTTATTAGGTGTATTTGCGTACGCAACAGTTATAACCAGAGAAAAATAACAAGGCATAAAATCCAAAATTCCAAATATGCAAATGCAAAACGCCAGAAAGGAAATCCAGAAATTGGGCCCACTGTGGGCCCTTATAATACAATATGCGGACACATGGCCCATCCCCATTCCGCCGGCCCTTTCCACCCCTCTTCAAAATGCCTCATTTCTATTATTTTCCACTCTCATTTGAAGTGTGTCTCCACCTTAACTCACCACCACCATTCCCACAATCATGCAACAATGCGTCGACGAACTTGTCAACGACATAGGCAACCTTAATCTCGAGTGTTCCACCACCGCCGCCACCGACACCGACACCGCCATTTCTGTCAAAACCACTTCAAGCCACATCTCATCCGCCAGTAAGCCTCACGCGCGGCCACGCGATCCATGTTGGGACGCGATCCAAGGCAAGAAGTTCAATGGCACCGGGATCAGCCTTGACGACCTAGGCCTCGTGCGTCGCCTCGGGTGCGGCGACATAGGGAGCGTGTACCTCGTAGAGTTAGAGGGCAGTGATGGGTGCATGTTTGCTGCCAAGGTGATGGACAAGGAGGATTTGGCAAGTAGGAATAAAGGAAATAGGGCAAGGATAGAGAGGGAAATATTAGAAATTTTGGACCATCCTTTTTTGCCCACGCTCTATGGCTGGTTGGAGTCGGACAGATGGTCTTGCTTGTTGACCGAGTTTTGCCCTGGCGGTGACCTCCATGTCCTCCGCCAATGCCAACCGGACAAACGCTTCAGTCGAGCGGCCGTCCGGTGCGTACAATTTGAACATAAATTTGCAATTTAATTATACTACATGATCATACGCGTGACATATATACATATGTGTGTTTGAATTTTCTTTTTCATAAAAATAAAAAATAAAAAATAAAAAATTGTTGATTAAATTTGCAAAATGGTACAATATAAAACGAGTCATAATAAGTGGGGTTCCAATATTTGCTTGAGAATTATTTTGTGTGGGTTCCATAGCTGGAGACTGGGACAATCTATGAATGTTGCAACCCCACAATGCTTTTGGTAAGTGCCATGCACTCGATCATGATCATCATGATTCAATGCAAGTTTCTATAATAGGCCTCGATTAGGATAAATTTTGATTAGATTACTTTTTTTGTTTATTGCCTAATTACGCATGAATTAGGATTGATATTGAATTACTCAATTATGTGATATAATTGGTAAAGAATCACCAAATCGATTAGGCCTCATTTACTTTGATATGTATGGTTATAAGATCTGTCGAGGATCTTCCTTGTAATTTTACATTAAGTTTTTTGATATAATATTATTTTTTCCAAATTTACAATCTAGTCTTTTTTGGTGCTTGAAGATTTTATGCATCTGAAGTGGTTGCTGCTCTAGAGTACCTACACATGATGGGAATAATATACCGTGATCTGAAGCCAGAAAATGTACTCATAAGATCTGACGGTCACATCATGTTGACCGACTTTGATCTCTCATTGAGAAGCAGCACTTCAACATCAACGGCTCAGCTTGTTTCTGATCAAGACCCACCAAACACCGATCGATCCTCTTATTCCACCAAGCAACCACAATTTGGAATATCACCATGCATCCTGCCTAGTTGTATGGTTCCGACGGCATCATGCATGCACCCAAAAGGCAAGCGCAAAAAGAAATCAGGTCACCGTGTGTCCCTCGAGATCGTGGCGGAGCCAATCGACGTCCGATCGATGTCGTTTGTCGGGACCCACGAGTACTTGGCACCGGAGATGGTATTAGGTGAAGGCCATGGCAATGCAGTGGATTGGTGGACTCTAGGCATATTTATATTTGAAATGTTTTACGGTGTCACACCCTTTAAAGGAACGAACCATGACTCAACTCTAGCTAACATTGTGGCCCGGGCCCTTGAGTTCCCCAAAGAGCCAACGGTGTCTGGACACGCTAAAGATTTGATCACGCACCTTTTGATCAAGGACCCCACAAGAAGATTGGGGTCCACAATGGGTGCGACAGCAATCAAGCACCATCCATTTTTTGATGGGGTCAATTGGGCATTATTAAGATGTAATAAACCACCAAACATTCCTCGGCCTGTTGCTCACCGGGACCTTGTGCAAGCCGAGAAAGGTAGGGACACTCCAGTAGAATACTACTAGCAACGAGTTTGTTTAATACAATTGTAATATAGTTTCATGTATATATGTGGTTTTTAATTTTGGATGCTGTGAAGTTGTTTTCTGGGTTATGTCATTTCAATTCCCTTTTGTAATTAAAGAACTCTAGTCCCTCCATTTGCAGTCATGAAAGCAAATTATCCTACATTGGAGGAAACAAATGGTTTTACGAGCATTATAAGCACGATACTTTTACACCAATTAATAAGATTGGTGGGCTGATGGACTTGGTAGTAAAGGCTATACATGGTTGGTTTGATTAATAATATTTAATTAATCAAGACTTGGGCCTTGGGTTTCTTATTTTTTTGGGTTTCTTATAGCAGAAGTTCAATTAAAACCAGCAGTCTTTATCATTTCGTGTGAATTTGAACATGTACAACTGATACTAACTACTATTTTAAAGGGGTGCAATTGTGTTATAAAACCACAATTCCTAAGCCAGGCGAAATTTTGATTTTAGGACATTGTGAATCCGCAAGCCTCTATCTTCAATAAACGTTAGTGTTCTGCACTTAAATTTCTACTTATACATTTATACAAGTTTGTATTTTTGTTTCTGTCTACACTTATTGCTTCTTGCATTAATATAGTGATCAATATTATAATTCATTTACTGAATTTCTTCTAACAGCAGGGATATGCCTGTTTGTCCATTTTAGTTAGATTAGCCCTGTCCAATCCTAACCAGGACTAAGTTGAGCCCTGACATGACTCTTGGTGGAAGAGTGGAGACCACTGTTGTCTACCTCTCTGCAACACTTTGAACAACTTGTATTTTTTGTTGTCACTGCAGTAGTACCACCAAT